TCCCACAGATGCATTTAACCTTTTTTCTTTCTCTTCCTTCCTTCCTGAAAGATTCGTACCATGCTACCCGAGCCTTCTTGTTCTTCGGGATGATTGCTGGAGCCATGTCTTGCATTGGTCTTTGTTGCACTTTCTTTCCCTTCCAACTTGGCTCCATCTCCAAGACAAAGAGCTCAGCTATAGCCAGCCTCGTTGCAGGTATCATGGGGGTTCTGAGCATCTATGTCCACACTGAGCCCAAGCCCCTGAAACCCCAGAAATCAGAGCTGTAGACTGTGTTTAAACAGATTCCGTGCCAAGAAGACTTGAGCTCAAATGAAACATATTCATTTCACAGAACACTATTGGCAGAACTAAGTTATACTCAGAATAGACCCATGGAATCTGATGGATATGAATAAGGGTGAAAAATGCCCTTCCCCCTCTCCACCTCCAGTTTCAGAGTTACAAAAGGTGGTGGTGGGGGAGATGCAAAGGGCTTTCACAGCCCTGCCAGGGAGGCTGCTTTCCACCTGCTATGTTGGAGTCAGAAAGCAGCCATCTGGGGTGCCTTCAAAAGCCACACTGTGGGGAGCAGTGGCTTCCATTGAATGAAAACCACATCCCCCCTCTTAATAATAATAATAACAAATTTTTATTTATACCCCGCCCTCCCCAGCCAGAACCAGGCTCAGGGCTGCTAACACCAATAAAATTACAATAAAACGTAATAGAACAAGAAAAAACAATTAATTAAAATACGGGTTAAAATACAGTTTAAAATGCAGCCTCATTTTAGTAGTAACCCATAAATCAAAACCATAAGGGAAGGGAAACATAAGGGTCAGACTGAGTCCAAACCAAAGGCCAGGAGGAACAGCTCTGTCTTGTAGGCCCTGCAGAAAGATGTCAAATCCCACAGGGCCCTGGTCTCTTGTGACAGAGTGTTCCACCAAGGCGGGGCCAGTACTGAAAAGGCCCTGGCCTTAGTTGAGACCCATCTAACCTCCTTGCGGCTCGGGACCTCCAAAGTGTTGTTATTTGTGGACCTTAAGGTCCTCCGTAGGGCATACCAGGAGAGGTGGTCCTTGAGTATAGCATGCTTCTAAAACCTTCCCCCTTTCACCTCATGCTGCCACAACCAAGCAGGATGAAGAATTTGCCTGGCAGGAGGAGCAACACTGGGAGATAGGCAGTAGCAGTGCTGGCAGATCTGTGCTTCTGGATCCTGGGAGCATGAACCACTAAGGTAGCAGGCAGAGGAGCCAGAAGAGCAGTGCAGTGGCTACCACCTGTTCTGGCTATCTGTCAGCGAAGCCCTGGTGCTGACAAGAGAAACAGAGGCAGGCATAGAGAGAGAACAGTTAAAAGCAAAAGGCAGAGAGGAGGGGCAGAGCAGCTGCAATTTGAGTTCTGAACACAGGGGAGAAGAAGGACAGGGCCAGAGTGAAAGGCTGCTGCGTGACAGCTCAAATAGTGAGTCAGGCCTTGGAATGCAGGAAGTATTCTCTCCCAAATCTCATTGGATCACAAAAGTGGCCGACAAGTGAAAGATACCAGAAAAGAAGGTGAGGGCTTCTGTGTTGGGGAAGGAGGAGGAGCTCAGTCCGGGCAACTCCATCTCCTGGGGAGGACGATGAGTAGAGGAGCTCTGTCCTAGTTTTAGCAATAAATCTGAAAGAATTAACAGCCAGAGTCGTCTCACGTTTGTGGGAGAGACCAAGCCATAACATTATCCCTCTACATCTCACCTGGGCCACCCATTCACCACCATATTTTACATCGCTACCTATCTGTGTTCAAGTGAACTACAGAGTGATGACAAACTTACTTTTTTATTACCATATTTTTTGCTCTATAAGACGCACCAGACCACAAGACGCACCTAGTTTTGGGAGGAGGAAAACAAGAGAAAAAATATTCTGAATCTCAGAAGCCAGAACAGCAAGAGGGATCGCTGCAGCAATCCCTCTTGCTGTTCTGGCTTCTGGGATAGCTGCGCAGCCTGCATTCGCTCCATAAGACGCACACACATTTCCCCTTACTTTTTAGGAGGAAAAAAGTGAGTCTTATAGAGCAAAAAATACGGTATTTGTAACTGATACGTATATTAAAAAGTTAAACAATATAATATGAAAACAATGTGCAAAATAACAACCATAAATATGAAAAACTGTTTAGAACAGCATCACATAATGCACAATCAATTCAAATCCAGGACAGATACTAGCTGGGATAAAGACTTTAGCAGGTTTGTCGAATGCGGAACATCTTTAGCATGTACCAGAGAGACAATAATGGAGGTGCCTGTCTGATATATAATGAGAGGGAGTGCCAAAGTGTAGGTGCCACTACATCAAAGACCCGATTTTGACATCATGTGGAGCAGACCTCCTCATAGCCTGGGACCTGCAGGATGCCATCTCTTGCAGAGCACAGTAGTCAGCTTGGGATGTAGGGGGTGAGATGATGTTTTAGTCACACTGGTCCATAGCAATATAGGGCTTTGTACTAATTTTGAACCTTGCACAGGGTTTGATTGGCAGTCAGTGCATTTCTTTCAGCCGTAGTATATATGTTGGTCATATTCCACCCCAGTGAGTAGTTGATCCTCTCCATTTTGCACTAACTGCAGCTTCCAGCTCAGCATCAAGGATTTAATTTACAAGTAACTTGATAACCTGATGTGTATTTTATTCCTAGCTGGTTGCGTCCTGATTGCCATGGCCACCTTCACAGGGTGTTTGACACCACAGAGTAGTTCTGAATGGTCTTACGGATGGTCTTTTGGCTTGGGTTGGGCCTCCTTTCCTCTCTTCCTTATTACTGGTGAGTATGTGTCAAATCGGAAATGCTGAAAATGCACATCTTTATTTAAAAGTTTGCCTTCACGTAGCATTGTCAGCTGCATTATTTAAGTCTGGGGCTGCTCTACAGTGTGTCCATTTGAACACAGATGAAAGCAGGTGTGTGTTCCCTGTAGAAGATTCAAAATGCACCTTGTAGTTCTGTAGAAGAGAATATATTTTAGCCCTTTAGAACGGCAAGTTTGTGATGTCACTGATGAAGAAGGGAGGACAGCAGTCCAGATATCTTGGATGGAGTTTGATTCTGCTCCCCCTGTTGCCCTAACCAGCCCCTTTTCTCTCCTGACAGGTGGGCTGGCTTTCGCCTTGGATAGGGCTGTGTCAACAGGAGCATGAAGAAAAGGCTGTGCTTCCACTTCAGATGATACCTGGGGCACACAGACCCAGCCTGCACTGGGGCGAGTTGGAGCTGGGGGGAATTGAATATAATGTAGGGCTGCCATATTTGAAAAAGTGAACATCCGGACACAAAGGTTGTTGAGCTTTTGTCAAGGTTGTTGAGGTTTTTTTTTTAATTTTGCCCAAAGTTGTTGAGCTTCCTTTGCAAAATCTCTAAGGGTTTCATCTTCAATGAAATTCGCCATCTATACTTCCGATATGGACCGGATACCTGCTATGTCCGGGAAATTGCGGATGTATAGCAACTTTAATGACAAAACTGGCATTGTTATAAGTCCGGCAAGGTGGTTAAGAAACTGGAAGTTATTTACTGAATGCTGTAGAACAGAACTTCTCCAATTGGTGGGGGAAGGATGATTAAAGTATTGTATTAGCTTAATGTATGCTGCTATTACCAGTTAAGAATGATGATGAACATTATTATTATTATTATTTTGTAAATTTATTTATTTGGTCTTTTAAATTAAAATTTTACAAGAACATATCAATCTACAATAAAGAAATAAGATTCCATATATAAAAGGACACAGATTCTGAAGCCTAAAAGACAGCCTGGTTTTAAGGGCAGAAGCGTAGGTTTGGATTTAGAATCAAGAGGTCTCATTTTGCTCCCAGAAGACTTCCCTGCAAAGTCATAGGAAGCAATGGAACCTCTCTCTTCTCCATCCCTTGCTATGTGGCTCTTTCTCTCCCCCATGCAAGTTTTGGGAGAAAAGCAGTTCTTCTGGTATTTGAATCAGTCGTCTTGGATGTGACTTTCTCTTTAACAGAAAGTTCCCACACACAGCCTACTTATTCCTCCCAATATACTTGTAGAAAACTTATGTGGAGGTTAGATCATTCAGCATCTATTCTGATATTTCTTGGGGAGTCATATTACAACAAGCATTCGTCCTGCCTTGGCCCTGATTTGTTTGTCAAGTGTTTATATGTGTTCCCAGTAATAATTCACTCATTTCTCACTTGTCAATGCATTTCCCGGCACTCCTCCCCATTCACACAAAGTCTGGGTTGTACCCCACTGAATTCCATTCAGAGTAGTTTCAAGAATTTCCTGCAGCCAATCAGATGCCACGCTTTGGTTTTCAAACGTTTTGGAAGTCTAACTTACTTCCGGAATGGATTTCATTTGACTTCCAAGGTACGACTGTATATGAATATTGGATGTATTTTTTCAACAATAACAACAACAACAAGAGACCATAATAATAAATACATTTAGGCAGAGTTCTGATTTATAGCTCCCATGATCTCTCCCCCGAGGCCGTGCTGTAGTCAGGGGCGCCAACTATAGAGGGCTGAAGGCCCTTCAATATTTGAGGGCAGGGGGTGAGGCCCTCCCAGTATTGAGGGGGCTCCAAACAAATCAGCCGCTTTCCTGCACCCTCTGCACTCCCCATCCCCTGCCACTGGCAGGTAAGTGCTGGCACACCAGACAGGAGCTGGATGCATGTAGGGTGATCTTTACTTTCCGTGCTTTGCAGCCCCTGCCACTGTCAGGGCGCAATGGGGATTTCTGCGGGGGGGGGGAGCCTGAGTCCCCCCCCCGACTGTGTACCTGAGGCAACGGCCCCCTGGCACCCTCCACCCGGTGCATGATGTTGTGCGTATGATGTCACACAACCCTGTACCCCCTTGATGTCGGCGCCCCTGGCTGTATTTCAGCAACATCTCAAAAGCAGAAGGTCTAGCGCCTGGACCTAGCACAGAGCGCACTGCCTGATGACATCATCTGTGACAGCACAATGTTCAGAAGGCATCACGTCGCACGTGCGACTTCAGAGCAGTGGCCGTTGGCCATTGGCTGGGCAAGCGGCACTTCAGCAGGACAGCGCACACCAATGGTCAGTCAGCAGCACGCCTGAAGTAACGTGAACATCTCCCTTCCCTGGGCTCATCATCCCGAATCCACTTTGCAGTCGCAGACCCGACATTTCCATCAATGTGCAGCCTGGAGGTTATCACAGAGATTTTTGCTGTCATCTGCTTTCTGCTTCACATCGCTGCTGTGTCCTCACAGCACTGGCTAACGAACGTCAATGCGCACATGGGGCTGTGGGCAGGTTGCCATGGAACACAGTGTGTGTTGTTTGGGATACAAGTTCCACGTAAGTTCGTCTTTGCCTTGGGCTATGAGTACTGGAGGTGTGGTACCCTGAAGCAACTTAGAGCTGTTCTTATTATTTATTAGTAAAGGTAAAGGGACCCCTGACCGTTAGGTCCAGTCGTGACCAACTCTGGGGTTGCGGTGCTCAGCTTGCTTTATTGGCCGAAGGAGCTGGCGTACAGCTTCCGGGTCATGTGGCCAGCATGACTAAGCTGCTTCGGGCGAACCAGAGCAGCGCACGGAAACACCGTTTACCTTCCTGCTGGAGCGGTACCTATTTATCTACTTGCACTTTGACATGCTTTCGAACTGCTAGGTGGGCAGGAGCTGGGACCGAGCAACGGGAGCTCACCCCATCGCGGGGATTCGAACCGCTGACCTTCTGATCGGCAAGGACTAGGCTCTGTGGTTTAACCCACAGCACCACCCGCATCCCTGGCCTTATTATTTATTACCCTAGTGCTATTTTTCTAGAAGAGGAGGTGCCACAGCTCCCCACGAATGCCTGCCTTGGTCTCTTATGGTGTCACTGGTGCCCACCTGAGAGGTGACGGAACTGAGATCTGGCTGAAAAAAAGCCCTGATTTACGCTATGTATGTGCTGCTCTTCAGACGGGCCTTACAAAGCGCTTTTCATAAGTTTATTACAAGAAGCATCGCTTTACAAAATATTAATGTTACAATAGAGTGGCTAAGACAACTTGTTTGCTTGCAAAAAGCTGCTCCTTCTTCCTTCCCCTCAGAGCAAGATGGTCCTTCAGATACTTCTGTGGGAGCTGGGTGGTGACAGTTCCTAAAGCTTCTTTCCTCAGTCCTCTTCATTTTGAACGTTTCCTGCAGTTTGGTCCTTCAGTCTGCTGTTAGTTCAGAGTGACTAGGGATAATGCTACACAGACACACACACAGTGCCAGATTAAACCCAGTGAAGGCCCCTGGGCAGGTGAAATCAGGAGGGATCATAATTTATCTTGTGCGCTTTAGTGGGATAACACTGAGGGAGCAGATAAAAACTGACCTCTCTGTCCCTGGAGGGAAATATTGCATGGGAAGTTGCCCAGTCCCATTGACACATTTAACCTTTGTTCTCTCTTTCCTCCGTCTAGCATACATGCAGGCTACCCGAACCTTGATGTTGTTGGCGTTGTTAGCTGGAAGCTTCTCTTTGTTTAGCATTACTTCCATCTTCTTCCAGTGCCCCTTTGGCTGTATCTCCAAACCAAGGATCTCAACAATATTCAGCACCATCGCAGGTATGGTGGGGTTGTCATAAGCATCTGCTTCCACAGACAGCCAAGCTGTAGCTCAGGGCTAGAGCATCTGCTCTGCACGGAGAAGGTCTCAGCTCTGATCCTCAGCATCTCCATTTAGGGCCAGGAGAGACCCCTGGCCTCAGTCCCCCAGAGCTGCTGTCTGCCACTTTAGGCAGTACTGAGTGAGATAGGTCATTGGTTCAGACTCAGCATAAGGCAGCTTCCTATGTTCCTTCGCATTTGGTAACTAACTCAAAGCCAACCCTTGACTTGGAAAAATAAAACAAAATAACCCCCCACTCCCCAAATCCTATGCCAAGAAGGCTTGAGCTGAAATGGAAAGCTGAAATCGATACACATGGCAAACTTAAGTCCATTGAATACAAGGTGTTCCCCTCTGATTAGGACTGATACCACCCAAAATCCAGCAAAAATAAATCTTAGATGGCCTTCAAGATGTGCACAGGATTACAACCCCTTAGTGGCTTGAAAAGGGAATCCTGCAAATTCATGGACGATAAGGTTATCAGAGGGTTGCAACAGGTTTGGCAACCTCTGAGATTGGGACTGGAAAAAGAAGAAGAGGAAATTTATTTATGCTATCCAACTTTTTTCTCCAATGTGGCTCACCCTCACAACAACCCTGCGGGCTGAGAGGCTTTGACTGGATCAAGGTCACCCAGTGAGTTTCATGGTGGAGGGGAATCTGAAACCTGGTTTCCCGGGTCCTAGTCTAACATTCCAACAACTATGCCATACTGGCTGTCAAGCAAGCATAGGGGGTTACTATTACTGAGCTCAACATAGGAAGCCTTATATTGAATCAGCCCAGAACTCATACCCTCCAACTGTCCCTATTTCCCAGGGACAGTGTCAGAATGATGAAAGCTATCCCAGCTTCTGATTTGATCCAGGAATGTATCTATTTCCTCCCCTAGTGCTGCTGCCACTGAGCTTGGGGAGGAGGATGAGCTGGTGCTTGCCCTAAGCAGAAGTGGCAGCTGCAAGGAAGCACCCCATGCCTCTCCATGGAGGTTGCCAACCTCCTCCCTTTGACAGCTCTTAGCAGCTGTTGGAGAGAGGGTGAAGAGGAGGAGAGGCTGCCGCTGCTGAGGCCCAGGTAATGCACCAGCTCTGAGGTGCAAGCAGAGGGCAGGGCTGCCCTGGGCAGGAAGAAAGAGGGGGAAGAGTGGAATGCAAAGAGCCTAGAATTTGTTTTTATAAATGCCTCATGCATCCACATCTAATCTTGCCCCTTTCTAAAAGTTATGTACTGGTATGTGCCAAAGAATACGGTAAAATTGGGATTAAGGAGTTTTCTCAGGACAGCAGAGGGTGTGTCAGAGACCAGGCTGAGAAGAGCTACTCTGATGAGGAATGGTTCCAGGATGCAGATTCCCAGGAGCAGTGGAGCATTATAGATTTGGAGCAGTGGTTTGCAGAGGGAAATAGCTTGGAAGACAACAGCTGGGCAGAACTCAGAAGGGAACAGCTAGGAGGAGGAGAACAGGGAGAGAGAGAATTAACAGACTCCCTTTCGCTGGAAAGTGTCCAAGTGCTCAGTCCAAGGTCAAGAGGAGCAGATAAGGTAGCTACACAGAAAACCAAATGGTTGAGAGATCAGCTTTGCCAGATGAGGAAGTGATGGGGGTGGCTTGGGGGGGAGTGGGTGGAAACTTTAATTGGGAGCACCTTTCTTCCGAGAATGGAGTCTTTGTTCTTTCACTGTGAGCATTAAATTCTCTTTAACTGATAAGAGACTATTTTCACTTTGTTCTACTTATCCACGGCCAAACGGAGGGAGGAAGCCGCTTCCTCAAAGGCTGACAGGGTTGTGTCCTGGTGGTGTAGTGAGGGTGGGGAAACAAAAATTGGGGAGGTTGGGGATGGTCAGTTGGGTGTGTGAGTGAGAAATGTCCCTATTTTCGTCTGAGGACTGTTGGAGGGTGTGAGTACTCTCTACACTGACAGGTAGCAGTTCTCCAGGGATGAAGGCAGGAAACATTTCCAGCTTGGATGAGCTCAGGATTGAACCAGTTGCTCTGCTTTACACATCAGCTGTGCTTCTGCTTACGTGTTTCTCAGAAGAATCAGATGGACATTGGGGGAAAGGGGAGCCTGGGCTATATGAGGCTCTAAGGAGTTTTATTTGCTCCTAGGCTTATTTGTTCTGATTTCTGTATGCGTCTTCACCAGCCATATGCGACCAACTGATAATTCGGGGTGGTCCCTGTACCTGGCCTGGGCCTCGATTCCTCTGTGCCTTGTAACTGGTGAGTATGCATGGCATGGGACATACTGAAATGTATTCACAGAATCTGAAATATACTCAGAGTCGAGTGTGGATTTCATACTCTTTATTCAGCTCATAGTAGTGAGGAATGGAAGTTCTCCCGAAATGTCTGCTTTATATATATTATTTACACAATGGGCTAATTCTGGGATTCTCCTGTAGGCCAGTCAGGTTGCGGATTCACTTCCACCTGAAGTTGGATTGGGTGGCTCCTGCGGACCAATCAGACTGCTGCATTCTGAATCCTATTGTTCTAGGACCAATCAGACTGCTGCATTTTGGATCCTACTCAACTCAGTACATAACAGAATCGTAGAGCTGGAAGGAACCACAAGGGTCAGGGCTGTTATTACCCAGGGGTGCAAGGGGTGCGGGGTACCCCAGCGTAAAATTATGGGGAGTGCCAGGTGCCCGGCGCTGAAGCTCTTAACTGTCTACCTGTTATGAATTAATTTGAGCATCTTGTGTGAAGGAGTCACTGGGCTGGGGAGGGGTGCGCACTCATGGCGGTAGCCGGGCTGTGGCCACGCAGGGACTCTGGCCCTCCCCAGTGCTTCCCAGAGGAGGTGCTTCCCAGAAGCGCTTGTCTGCGGCCGAGTCCCTTCTTCCGCGCTGAGGCGCCGGCACTGCGGGAGGGGTAAGAGCAAGCAGGGACCCCCGTGGGCAGGAGCAGGTCGCAGAGTGCGGCTGGAGGAGCTGCAACTTGGTGAGCCTGAGGTGCAGCAGTGGCGGAGTGGCCAGTCTGGAGCAGCGCTCACCCCACTGCCAGTGCCACGCACCCTTCGGCTGGCATCGTGCAGGTGGCACTGAGTCAGTCCCGCACCTTGAAGGCTGCTTGCTGCTCCCCTGGCTTGGCCCAGCCCCCACCCACAACTGCGGGGGGGGGGAGAGGCACCTCCAGAACAAAGAAGGGACAGCAATGTGTGCTGCCTCCTGCTCTGCCGCCTTCAAGACCCTGCTTCACTCCTCCAGCCCCGCCATCATATTAACAGGCCTCTCCCTGACACTTTCATGGGCCATAGATTATTTAATAGCCATAGGCCTAAGTAAAGAGGAATGTTTTTGCCTGGTGCTTAAAGACATGTAATGAGGGCGCCAGGCGAGCCTCTCTGGAGAGAGCATTCTGCAATCAAAGAGCCACCACAGAAAAGGCCCATTCTCTTGTTGCCACCCTCCAGACCTCTTGTGAAGGAGGCACATGAAAAAGGGCCTCATCCATCCCTAGACATTTCCAGTTACCGTACTTTTCCGTCTATAAGATGCCCCCTTCTATAAGACTCCCCCTATTTTGGGGGACTAAAAATTTCAAAAATGGTGGTGGGGAGATTCTTCAAAGTTGTTGAGCTTTACCCTCAATGGTTGCAGAGGGGTCTTTGAAGCCCACGCTTTGATCCTCTCGCTGCACCGCTGTTGCTTCGCCCTCCTTTTCCCCCTTCTGTCTCGGTCCAGCCTCGGACTCACCAGGACTGTAAAAGCCATCGCAAGGCAACCCTCTCGGAAACCCTGTGCAAACGCTGCATGTGGGAAACTTCTACCTGCACGTCCAAACGTGCCTCCCGCTCCCCTCCTCCTCCACAGGGCTGGAGGAAAGGTGCTAATTAGGGGATCGTCATTACAAAGCCCCCCCCCACGTTTCCCAGGGAGATCAGGTGGAGGGTTGCTGGGTCTGCCCCAACCTTGCATGCGGGAATTTGCAAACACTCCCTGACCACCAGAAGGGAGTAGCTTTCAGCACAGGAGGCCGGCTATTTAATCAGCCGTTTACCTCAGTGCCTCGCATGTTCTTGGTGCGCTCGAATGGCCACACAAAAGCTTCAATTAGATTTATTTTTAATTGCGCAGCACCATCTATAGAAGCACCAAGGCTATCAAGCTAGCCTATTTATTTGGTGGGAAATGCATATGTTCCTTAATCTGCTGCTGCTGGCATTGCAAAAGCCACCTATCCTCTGCCCCCTTGCCGAAAAAAGCAGCAAAAGGCCGACCAATTGCCACAACGACAGCTAATCAACACCGGCCCTTGACGCAGCCACCAATAACATTCTCCGACTCATGGCAGCAACCAGTCCCACGTCCCCACAATGCATTACCCATGTATAAGACTACCCCCAATTTTCAACATGCTTTTTGAAGGAAAAAAACCTTCTCTTATACACGGAAAAGTATGGTATATCCAGGACTAGCAGCTTGTGGAAGGCTCAAAATGCACCAACTATGCAGAAGAAAATAGACCTATCCAAAGATATTCTACTTGGAGATGTCAACATCTTTAAGTTGGACTAGTACTAGATTGGACTAGCCCTAGCACTATTGGGTTGCATTTTGGCCTGTCAGAATGGTAGAGTTTGGAGGATCAGAGCATGATCCTGTGAGCCAGAGAGATATTGCTGGGGTCACAGATCCACATGTCTCAGACAGTGTATCATTCTGCTCCACCTATTGCCTCAACCAATCCCTTTTCTCTCCTGACAGGTGGGACTGCTTTAGTACTGGATACTGCGATGTTAGACTGAACAAGAGGATGTGACTGTTCTGCCATTTTCGATGACGTCTGAAGCTACATTGATAAGGTGTGGTGCAAAGATAGCCTGCACTGGGGGCGAGCTGGACCTGGAAGAAGAGGCTGTATTTTTTCCTTAGTGGCAGAATTGATGCATTATTTGCCCCCCTCCCCCAATTATAATATTATTGCTATATATTTTGGAAAGTGGTTTGTCCCTTTGTCCTCTGTGAGTTCGAACGCTTCTAATGATATTGTCACCAAAAAGCAGGAGCCAACTTTTGTCTGTCAGGATACCACCGGGCACCATTTTCAATCCAGATAGTAGAACACAATGGTCCAAACTGAAGAAGATGTTGCCAGATGTGCCACAGTGATTTCCAAGAATGAGGCGCTGCTTTTGGTCAATGTTTGGAAACTGCCGCCTGCCATTTTAATTCAAGATGGCAGGCTGAAATGCTCCCAACTGCACTGGTTATATACCGTATTTTTCACTCTATAAGACGCACACGGCCATAAGACGCATCTAGTTTTAGAGGAGGAGAACAAGAAAAAAATATTCTCTCCCTCTCTGCACAGCGCCCCTTCAGCGAAGCGGCAGGAGAGGCGGAGCCGCTTCCATTTCTCCTCCTGCTTCGCTGAAGGGGCGCTGTGCAGAGAGGGAAAGCTGTGGGAAAGCTGTCTCCAAAATATTCCACCAGTTGTGGGAAGTGTGGCTGGTGGGAAGAAAAAAGAAAAGAAAAGAAAAGAAAGAAAAGAAAAGAAAAGAAAAGAAAAGGGCTCTCTTCCCACCTTCCCACCAGCTGCATTTCCTGGTGATACCTAATAAGACCAGCAGCAAAGAACAACATGAAATTATACCCTATTTTCAAGAGGGAGAATATATATATATATTTAGAAAAATGGGGAAAGGGAGAACTAACCCCAGTTACTTTCAATGACCGATGGGGAAAAACCCAAGAAGAATAAAACCAAAAAGTTAAATTCAGGAGAACATTACATGATTTCATGAATATTAAAGTAAATGTTGAAAAAGCATTTTAACTAGCAGATTTGCTTACTCTGTAAAGATGCATACCAGAGTAAGGATCCTTATGCTGAAGCTTACATGGTCAATGATCATTTGAGGTTATTTCAGAATCACCAGATATTATCCCATCTTCCTAAGATACCACTTAAGAGAGCAGGGGAGGCACAGTTTCTCCCCTTGCAGTACTTTTAGAGAAGCCAAAATATATTAATATTGAATGTGTGTGTGTGTTTAAAAAAAAAAAAGATTCAAAAATGCTGATGTTTACTTACAAACCATCCAGAAAACCCAAAGTATATTGAATGCAATAATAAATTCATTTAGGCTGAGTTCTGAATCACATCTCCCATGGCCACTGGCCATGCTTGCTAGGGCTGATGGGAGTTGTAGTTCAGCAACATCTAGGGGATCAAAGGTTTTGTACCTACCTGGCCAATCACAGTGTGGACAGCCTGATGACACCTTCTGTTTATGACAGCACAGTCTGCTGTAGGCCTCTCACCATGTGCAGCTTCGCCACTGGCTGAGCTGGGGGCACTTCAGAAAGGCAACACCCCCCCCAACCAGGCAGCGACCAATCTAGAATAAGACAAATGTCTCAGAGCCTTGGACTTGCCGATCAGAAGGTCAGAGGTTCGAATCCCCGCGACGGGGTGAGCTCCCGTTGCTCGGTCCCTACTCCTGCCAACATAGCAGTTCGAAAGCACGTCAAAGTTCAAGGAGATAAATAGGTACCAGCGGGAAGGTAAACCCCGTTTCCGTACGCTGCTCTGGTTCACCAGAAGCGGCTTAGTCATGCTGGCCACATGACCCGGAAGCTGTACGCCAGCTCCCTCGGCCAATAAAGCGAGATGAGCGCCGCAACCCCAGAGTCTGCCACGGCTGGACCTAATGGTCAGGGGTCCCTTTACTTTTACCTTTACTCCTTCCACTGGATTCATCCTCACAATTGCACTGCCCAGTCACAGAGCTTACAGTCAAGCTGAACTGCATGGAAATTAGCCTGGCAGTTTCCTCTTTCGCCAGTTTTCTGCTACAACTCATTTCCATGGGCTCATCTACCTGGTTAGGACATCAGCATGTAAGGCAGGGCTGAGGATACTTTGCGTTTCTGATTCATGTGCCAATATTGGAATAAAAGAGCTATCAGGTAAGGTATTCTCTGTCTTGGGCTAGGAATGTGGTATTGGAAAGTTTCTGTGCGCCCATGTTCAGCCCACGTCTTCAGCGCCTGCTTGGGCTGGGTGACGGGAGCACCTTCACTGACTTTCTGATCACAGGAACGCAGGAACAGCAACACAACATTCCCGAGGAATAGGCCCTGGTGCCGTGGACTCACATTTGCTGATGTGAGCCCCTCAAAAGCAGCAGAGTAATGGAAGCAAAGCTGTGGAGGTTTTGTAGGATGCCTAATTTATTTCTACTGATTAAACAAATAAAAGAACATAACAAACATGTATGAGAGAAACAGCTCTCATACTGCCATTCTGTCTCTAGAGTCCAGACAGATCAAAGAAAAAGCACACAGTACTAGGAACGGAAGTCTGGAGGAGTAGCTTCTGTCCCCTCCTTTCTCACAGACAGAAAGTAAAAACAAACATGATCTGGTGATCCTTGCAATGGGAGGGATGAAAATACTGACAGAAAGTACCTTGAGCTGTACTTCACGGCTAAGTTTGTGGGGCGGTCCATGGTCCTTCAGTCCCCTATTGTGGAAAAAAGCAACAACCCATATAACTGTTGATATAGATACAGATAGGAATGAAACATGCAACAGTTCTGCTTGCAAGAAGTCATTTTTGCATCAGCATGTCTCCTGAAGAAACATCACACATTAGCCATAAACTCTTTACACCAGGCATAGGCAAACTCCAGATGTTTTGGGACTACAATTCCCACCATCCCTGACCACTGGTCCTGTTAGCTAGGGATCATGGCAGTTGTAGGCCAAAAACATCTGGAGAAGAAGAGTTTGGATTTGATATACCGCTTTATCACTACCCTAAGGAGTCTCAACATCAAAAAAACAAAGATCATGGCCACTGGGCCCATCACCTCCTGGCAAATAGAAGGGGAAGAAATGGATCAAACCTATCCATTCTTAAGGAAATCAGCCCTGAGTGCTACTGGAAGGACGGATCCTGAAGCCAAGGCTCCAATAGTTTGGCCACCTCATGAGAAGAGAAGTCTCCCTGGAAAAGACCCTGATGTTGGGAAAGATGGAGGGCACAAGGAGAAGGGGACGACAGAGGACGAGATGGTTGGACAGTGTTCTCGAAGCTACAAACATGAGTCTGACCAAACTGCAGGAGGCAGTGGAAGACAGGAGTACTTGGCGTCCTCTGGTCCATGGGATCATGAAGAGTCTGACATGACTAAAAGTCTAAACAACAACAAAATCATATCTTCTCTCAGTCTTATCTTTTCTAGGATAAACATACCCAGGCCCTTCAAGTGCTCCTCATAAGGCTTGGTTTCCAGACCCTTGATCATCTTGGTTGCCCAGCTCTGCACATATTCTGGGCACTATACTTCAGTTGATGCTACTTTGAAGATCATTCCCCCTCTTTTTTTTTCTTTCCTGCTGCTGCTGCCTCACACTCTTGACTCATTTAAGCTTGTCATCTACTAAGACTCCTAGATCCTTTTCACATGTACTACTGGTAAGCCAGGTGTCTCCCATCTTAGATTTGTGCAGCTAGTTCTTCCTGCCTAAGTATAGAACTTTACATTTGCCCCTATTGAATATCGCTTTCTAAGTTTTAGCCCAGTTCTCCAATCTGTTAAGGTCATCTTGAATCCAAATTCTGTCATTGGCTACCCCTTCTGGTTTGGTGCCATCTCCAAATTTGATGAGCATCCCCTCAATGCCTTCATCCAAGCCGTTTATAAAGACATTGAACTAAAGGTGAACTGAACTGAATGTCTCCCCCATTGCTACCTACATGTGCTTTGGATGAACCATATTGTGATCTGCAAAAGCGAAAAACGGAGGCGGGAAGCTTGGCTTTCTCCTGTGACTTCAGCTGAGCTGCAAACAGCAGCTCTGGCTTTTTACAGTGCGGAGATAAGCAGCAGTAGCAGCTGCTAATGTTTGCAGATCACGCTTCTGTGACAGTTACGAGAGGAGCCCTTATAAAACTGTCGGTGAGCCTCATAGGTCGTGTGCTTAACAGGGAGGCAATAAAAAACTCACACCCTTTTGTAACAGGATTGCCTCTTGGAGACTTTGAAAGCAAGCAGGAAATAGCACTGCTCCCACTTGCAACTGGTATTCAGGGGCACAGCCATCCAGCGGTAGAGCATATGGCCGTGCTGACCAGGGCGGGCACGCTTCAGAGGGAGGCGTGGCATGGAGGGTGCCCTTCCAGGTGCGGGATAGCCTCTAGGGTGCCCAGAGCGGCACATGCACCCTGCAGCCAGGGGCGGAGTGAGCCTCCCACGGGGGCAGAGCGAGCTGCCTATGGTGGACATTTGGCGCGCTGCCTGCCAGTGACACCCAAGCTTTTCCCAAGCTGTCAAAACGAAGGGGGCACAGTGGCACAGCTCCTCCCCTTACACCGAAGGCTCAGGGTAGGCTTGGGAGTTGTGGGCACTGAATATCACCCCCTCAATGAGGGCACCCGGGGCAGTCCGGAAATGAAATGAAACCTACTTAATGTAGGCACAAGAGTCCAGGTTGTGCCGTTAAATTAAGCCTGCCTTTACAACCATTTTCCCCTCCCTGTATGGTTCATAACATCAGAATCAGAAAGTATATCCGTACTTCAAAGTGTCTGACCTGTTTGTTCTAATCCGCAGTAAAATGAAGCCTATGCATATATAGAATTCTGACAATCCAAACGGTATCTTTATTTCTCAAGCATATTACAGATGCAGGCAGTATGTGAAGGTGGGACTTGATTTTTCCGGATTCTCTTCCAGGGAACCAAAATGCAAATCTCTCTTTACAGCCTCAGCAATACCCCAAATACATTTTGAGGCAACGCAGAAGATTTCTCATCAAAAGGTTCTTCTGTTTCCATCTCTAGCAGTGGTAAAGGTAAAGGTACCCCTGCCCGTACGGGCCAGTCGTGTCCGACTCCGGGGTTGTGCGCCCATCTCACTTAAGAGGCCGGGGGCCAGCGCTGTCCGAAGACACTTCTGGGTCA